AATTGTAGTTGAAATATAACCAGTGATGCATGACGTCCACTTTAGTAGACAGGTGGTTAATCATGATTTCCTGCAAACATAAAATCAATGCTTTGATAATTTATGAATTATATGATTCCTTAGTTGTTACTTGATGTCACCACATTTTTTATACCTGCAGGGGANCCTGCTGATGTTCAGGTGTATATCAGTATGTAGTGTCTCTACTTTAAAGAGTCCTCTCCTGCTGATGTTCAGGTGTATATCAGTATGCAGTGTCTCTACTTTAAAGAGTCCTCTCCTGCTGATGTTCAGGTGTATATCAGTATGTAGTGTCTCTACTTTAAAGAGTCCTCTCCTGCTGATGTTCAGGTGTATATCAGTATGTAGTGTCTCTACTTTAAAGAGTCCTCTCCTGCTGATGTTCAGGTGTATATCAGTATGTAGTGTCTCTACATGTCTCCATGCTTTAATTTTCAAAAAGCTCTTTATTTTTCTCACTGTCTGTGCTGCAGCACCTCTTTTCACCCTCTGTCTGAAACCAGAGCCCTGTCTGCTCTGATTGGTTAGCTGGCCGGCTCTGTTGCGTTTGGGCAACCGCTTACATATGTCCCGCCCCCTTAGACTATCACGTACGATGTGTTGGAGCGCTAGCCAATAGAAACGCAAGTGTGATGTAGTGATGTCCCCTTGTTGTGGAAGTAAACAAAGGAGGCGTTTCAGGCCCATCATTGTTCCCTGATTTTAGCCTTTGCAGATCATTTACATGCATCCATTATAACACACTACGGGAGAGCATGAGAGGACCCCTCTAAAGATGAATGCTAATAGGGATTTTAATAAAGCTAATTTGTTTTTTTAATATCTTTGTCCCTTGTTCTTCTTGTCACACGAGCTGCAAGTGTGTGGATGTTGTGTGATGGATAACCCACAAATGTTGTTCAACCTAATTAGCGTGAAAACATTTTCAATTTCCAGAAGACACTGACCCCCCCCCCCTCCACAGTAAAGCGATAACACCTCTAACCCAGTGCAGTCCTGCTCAGACCGACAGGCTTTCACTCAGGCTCCATAATGCCTGCTAATAACTGTCTGACGAAGATAAATTGGACCCAAGCTCCGTCCCCTGACTGCTGATTCTCCTCAGCCCAAGAAGGGAATCAACGCCAACCTCCACAGGCAGGCGGTGGGCACACAAGGGAATTGGGAACACAATGTACAGAGAGAAACACATATTTAGACTTCCTACTTTCCGAATCCTAAACATTTTGTATTATATTTCTTTAAAACATCTCAAAAAACAATGAATAAATCACAAGCTTTGACGGACAAAAGAAAACAATCTATGGCTGTAAAAGAAATGGGAACATTGTCCTGTCTTTTCAAATGTTTCACAAAACTCAATCTCAACCCGCCTACAAACAATACACTTACTTTCATTGAATAGGCTCCGAGCCTCTGAAAAGCATACAGATGAAGGATTGGTTTATGAAAGTGCTTGCTATTGATCCATAATGCATGTCACAAAGGAAATAATGGAGCGTCAACAAGTGTGAGTAATCCTAAAGCCGTATGCTATGGAAATAAATCAAATAGACTGTACACAATGAGTTTGTTGTCTCACTATAAGGAAAATATTCTCTATTTGGAAGTCCAATACATCTCCTCGTTAGGACATTTGGTCCTCTCAAGTAGAGCACAAATACAAACAACACATTTACACTCTATACTTGATTTAACACGTTCACCCCCTCACACTAAAAGGCTGCGGCACACATGTGGGCACATATTGAACCTTGTGTGCCGTGTGGGAATATGAGGGTGACTCAGTGAGGCTCTGCAGACACTTCAGTTTGAACATATGTGATCTATACTTTGGCAGCACTTAAGAGCGATGAATCTCTCTGTAAAAAGAGACACAGCGGGAGCAGGTTAAGAGACTGCAGCTGGAGAGGATCTGTCAGAGTGCTCACGCTGTTTTACATACAGTTCAACTTGTATATCAAATCAGGGTTGGGAGGTACTTTAAACTGATTCTGTTTCCTAGTTAGATGTCAAACAATCGTAGCATCACAATATAAAAGTAACCTGATTACTTCCTGTTACTTTTGGATAATATCAAATGCGATGTGTCCTCTGCTCAGAGATGTTGTGTGTAGGAAAGCCTGCCTTTCTTTATTCCTTGTTACGTGTTATCTGCTACTCCCTAAACCTGCATATACTTTTTCTGATATAATCGTGAAGGAGATGCAACTTTTTGAGCTATCTTTCTTCACAAAAGTTGGACCTTTTCACTGCCCCTGTATTGAATATATAACAAAAACAAGGATAAATCTTGACCTGAAATAATCTCCAGACAACAAATGGAGATGCTGCCGAAGTCAGGAAACACATTTGCTCCTCAGGATGTATTGTTCAAAGTGAGCACTTAGTCATTACTGCCAATGCGCGCACTTCCTTCAAGTACAAGCCATACATCAGCAGAACCATCCAAAGGTAAGGTATAGCTTGCTCAAGGGCACATGATTAGTGCCTGCTGCAGGATTGGACAGGAGATACTCGGTCACTTTTACTGCACAATCACACCTGCAGGCCAACCAGCAACCCTGTGGTCACAACAAGCTAATCCCCATCCGTCAGATTACAGCCCGCGGGCGACGGTGCGTTCACGGCCAGCTGTAGGATTTGAAAGTCTTTGCGTTGGTCTCAAATGCTTTTCCCGCAGCTGTTTCCCAGATATTACTGACCTTTACATTCCTGCTAAATCATGAAATATTGTACCTTTGTGTCATCTTCTCATGACTCATTCCTTATGGGATTTTAAACCCTTTGAATCTGAAATAAAAAACGCTGTAGCTGCATGACTGCCTTCAGAGACTCATGACTGATTCTTGGCGAGGTTCCCGGCTACCTTAATTCACCTTTCATAGGATATAATCATGTTTAACTTGTCAGATTCTGCCCACTGAGAATGTTAATTATGTTTTTTTTAATGGTTGACCTGCTGCTGAATTTTCTGCTCACTGTCAGAAATAGAGCTTTTTGCTGACAGTGAGCGAACGTTGGGCAGCGGCTGCTTGTTAAACATTACTTGACTTCAACCAGGTGATTTTCAGACGCCATGTGGACAAACACCTGCCCTTGAGCAACTCACTCAGTTGCCCCCAAGATTAAAGGATGGCATTACACACCCACACACCCAATCATGGCCCCTCTGCAGTGTGTCTTCCGCATGCTGAGTATTACTTTGATGAAATGCGGATGCTCAGAGTCACGTCTTCGGTACAAGTAATGGAGTTTCTGGAGAGAAGGATGTGAGCTGAGAAAATGAACAATTACCACTCGAGTATGAATCATTAACGTGCAAATACGAATTAACAGCAAACATACAT